TTCCTTATTCAAGTAAAGAATGTATTCTCCACAACTGTTAAAGTTCTAAGAACTGATAATGGAAGTGAGTTTTTAGTACTGATTTAAAGCATCTATTATCCAGTCTTGGTATTTTACATCTCAGTACATGTATTTTCACACCCCAACAGAGTGTGGTGGGAGAAAGAAAGCATAGAACTATTTTGGAGATGGCTAGATCTATCAGGTTTCAAGCTGTTGTACCTCTAATATTTTGGGGAGAATGTGTTGCTACAGCAGTGTACCTACTCAATCGACTGCCCTCTAAAGTAATTGAATACATGCCACCTTTTGAAATGTTGTATTTGCATACACCTTCATTGTGTGTCATCTCAGGGTTTTTGGTTGTTTATGTTATGCGACAAGTCCTAAGGTGTTGGACAAGTTCTCGCCTAGAGAAACCCCTGCTGTATTCTTAGGTTATTCCTCTACTCAAAAGGAATATCTACTGTATGCTTTGCATTCTAAAACCTTCATGGTAAACAGGAATGTTGCATTTGAAGAGAATGTTTTTCCCTTCAAGCTTGTTACAGCTTCTTGAAATCCTATCTATCATATCTTGGACATGTTGTCTCCTAATCTAAGCACGGCAAATCCTACTTTATCTTCATGACCTACATCAGAAGATTCCACTGAAACTAGTTCAGGTAAGCTATCTGCAGATTCACTTCAAGAAGATCCTTGACTCTACAGCAAATACAACTGATGTTGATTCTATCATCCCTCCTGATGTTGATCAACACGTTGATATTAGTAATGATATACCTTTCGCTCATCAACAAGTTGATGAGTATCTTGCAGAATGTAGAGGATCATCAAGACCAAGCAACCTCTGTGGCTACAAGATTATGCTAATACTTCCAGAGGCTCAAAATGCACTCATCCTATATCCTCCTATGAAAACTACCTCATATCACTCCAACTTACAGACAAACTCTCTCAGTCATTTCAGCTCTTTCAGAACCAACTTCTTTCAAAGAAGCTGCAGCTGACCCTAGATGGGTGGAAGCTGGAGATTAGATCCTTAGAAGATAATCACACTTGGAGTATTATAGATCTACCACCTAGGAAGACTCCCATTGGCTGATGGGTCTACAAGATTAGGTACAAGGCATCTGGGGAAGTAGGAAGGTTAAAAGTCAGATTAGTGGCCAAGGGGTATAGTCAGAAAGAAGGTTTGGATTATGGTGAAACTTTCTCTCCAGTGGCCAAGTTAGTCACGGTCAGATGTATCATTGCATTGGCAGCTTCTAGACAGTGGTTGATTTTCTAGATGGATGTTCATAATGCTTTTCTCAATGGAGATCTAATTGAAGAAGTCAACATGCATATACATGAGGGATATGCTAGACATGGGGAGACTCACAGGAAGTTCTGCAAACTCCACAAGTCTCTTTATGGACTTAAACAGGCACCAAGACAATAAAATATGAAGCTAACTGAAGTTGTACTCTATATGGGCTTTAAAACAAAGTCTTTATGACTATTCTTTGTTTACAAAGAAGGCTGGAAATGATATTCACACTGGTGTACGTGGATGATCTCTTTATCACTGGAAATAATCAACAACTGCTATGTGAAATTAGAGCAGACCTCAAGAAGAGGTTCAAAATGAAGGATCTAGGGGAGCTGAAATTCTTTCTTTTGTCACGACCCGGATTTCCCACCCTCGGGAGTCGTGATGGCGCCTAATATTAGGAGTTAGGCAAGCCAATTATTAATTATCTCTTTTAGCAAACATCAACAATATTATAAAACAAAGCATTTAATAACATAAGTGGAAGTCTCAAATGTAAATAACTGAAAGAAATGCGGAAATCCCAATACAAAACTCTACCCAAGATTGATGTCACCATACTCACGAACTTCTAGGATTACTAAATACAATGGACTGAAAGAAGTCATAATCTATTTGCTTCGGTACAAAGGATAACAAACTGAAATAGAGATAGAGGAGACTTCGGGCCTGTGGACGTCAGCGAGGCTACCTCGGTGTCTCTGGACTGAAGGTCTACTCCCAATCTACTGCTGTTGTCCAAAAGCTGCTCCAACACCGTGATCTGTGCAAAAGAGCACAGAAGTGTAGCATCAGCACAACCGACCCCATGTGCTGGTAAGTGTCTGGCCTAACCCCGACGAGGTAGTGACGAGGCTAGAACCAGACTCCAGATAAACCTGTACAGTTATATATAGTATATGGCAGAAAAGTAAACAGGCAATAAGCAGTAAAAGGGAGGGGGGTACATGCTTCGGGGGAACAATTTAACTTAACAAAACCCAAGTAAATAAGAAGGAACTGTACTGTATCCAAACCACGTAAAAAATACTACTGTTGCGGCGCGCAACCCGATCCATGTTCATATTTCAATTGTTGCGGCGTGCAACCCGATACAATATAACATCTGTTGCGGCGCGCAACCCGACCCAATACAATATCCGTTGCGGCGTGCAACCCGATCCAATACATTAACTGTTGCAGCGTGCAACCCGATCCAAAAGTACAGCTTACAGTGATCACAACAACAATCCCGGCAAGGGACTAACCATAAATTACACTATCCCGGCAAGGGAACCCAACGACACAAGTGAAAACGTCCCGGCAAGGGAGAATCAACTATAACCAATCTCATTTCAACTTATAATTATCACTACTATCATTATTCTCGTCCCTCGAGCACTTCTACGAAAATAACTGAGCCTTTGCTCAATACCACGGATTTTCTCACTATTTCAATCATAACATTGTTCAAGAATACACAATTATCAAATTAAGACTCACGGTCATGCTCGACACTAATGTATAGATACTCATCACCATGCCTATACGTCATACCCAAAAAGAAGCACGTAGCAAATATGACTCAACTCCTAATCCCTCAAGCTAAGGTTAGATCGAACACTTACCTCAAACTTCCACGGCCAATTCAATCCTCAATTACCACTTTCCCTTTCGAATTCGGCTCCAACTCAATCAAATCTATACAATAACGACTTAATAATATCAATATAAGCTAAACAAATCAACCCCGATGCCTAAATATAGATTCCCAAGCTTTCTTCCCAAAATTCCAAAAATCGACCCCGGGCCCGCTTAGTCAAAACACGAGGTTCGAACCAAATTTATATCACCCATTCTCCTACGAGCCCAAATATACAATTTGCTTTCAAATTCGATCCTAAAACGAGGTCTAAATCAAGAAAAATTGAAAAGCCCTAACTCTACCCCCTTTCCCCCAATTTCAACCCTAGATTACATGATTTGAGCTTAGGAATTTGATAAATGATGATGGAAAATGAAGGAGACAAGTTAAACAATACTTACCCAAGAAGCTTTGGTGAAGAAATGCCCTAACAATCGCCTAGAAGCTTTGGAGAAGAAAGGGTTCGTGTATTTTTTGAATAAAACCCGTAACTGTTCTGTTTTTATGACTTAAAAATTGCTGGGTGAAAATACTCTATCCGTTCTCGACATGGGGGTCGCGTTCGCGATGAGTAGGTTCAGACAGGCATCGCGTTCGCGGGAGTAGGGGTGCGAACGCGAAGGAGGAAATACTGGGGTCCAAGGAGTTTGGCCTACGCGAACGCGTTGGCCTATATGCGAACGCGATGGGATGGGGCTGGAGACCTATGCGAATGCGGTCCAGCCATCGCGACCGCGAAGAAGGAAGGAGGGCTTGGCCCTCAGAACTCGATAACTCTACGCGATCGCAGTGAAGGGATGCGAACACGAAGGAGGGAGGAATCTGAAGCTTCGCGAACGCGAAGGAGATACCGCGAACGCGATGAAGGAATTTACTGTGCACCTGTTGCAGGTTTTCTACAATTTCACTAAGTTCTAAAACCTCCCGGAACACCTCCGAAACACTCCCGAGCCCTCGGGGCTCCTAACCAAATATACACACAACCTCAAAAACATCCTACTGACTTATCCGTGCGATCAAATCGTCAAAATAACATCATATACATCAAATCAAGCCTCAAAACTCATGTTTTTCCTTGAAATTTTCATAAAGCATCAAATTCTCAATTTAAGTCTGAAACACGTCAAACGACGTCCAACTTCAACCAAATTTTACAGAAAGCGCTTAAACCATATATAAGACTTGTGCCGGGCATCAGAACCAAAATACGAGCCCGATACCACAGTCTTTTAATCAAATTTCATTTCCAATTTCCTTAATAATTTCAGAAAAACAATTTCACAGAAAAATTCATTACTCGGGCTCTAGACCTCGGAATTCGACTCCGGGCATATGCCCGAGTCCCATATTTTTCTACGGACCCTCCGGGACCGTCAAATCACGGGTCCGGGTCCGTTTACCCAAAATGTTGACCGAAGTCAAATATATTCATATTAATATCAAAATTTAGCGTTTTTCACACAGAATTCATATTTTAGCTTTCCGACTACGCGCCCGGACTGCGCACGCAAATCAACGCGACCTTAAATGAGGTTTCCGAGTCCTCGGAAGCACGGAATGAATAAGAAAACAGGTGATGACCCTTTGGGTCGTCACATCTTCGGATTGAGTTTGCAAGTTCCAAGAAAAGCATTCTCATGTGTCAGAGAAAATATGCACTAGAGTTGGTCTTTGAATTTGCAGCAAAGGTTCCGAAGCTGCTATGTTGCTTGGCACGTTGATTGCTCTTATCACGTTTCTTAATCTCTCTTTTTTTTTTTTTTGGGTGGAAAGATTGTTCTTGGCACGTTGATTGCTTTTTTAATTGCTCGTATAAGGTTTCTTAATCATAAGAGTAGGTGAGAGTGGCTATTTTATATCTAGTAACTTAAAATATTTTTCTCAAGAGGTTAGGCAAAGACGAACCAAACACATTGAATACTTTGTGTTTATTTTTTGTTTATTGATATCTAGATAAAAACAAAATAATGGTCTCAATAGTTAAATATTTATGCACTGTATCAAGAATTTTTACTCTTTTAGTTAAATATTTATGCACTGTATCGAGTGCACAGTGGTAGGAAAAAGCGTGAAACCTACAAAACATATTAGAAACCTTGTTCATTTCGAGCTATCAAATAAAACAAAATAAATATTATAGTAGATACATCAATAGTTGTGGTTCACAAAATACAAAATCACAAATGGGTGAGACTTGCATTAAACATGGCTTATTCCTTTAAACATAAAATCAACAACCGATAAGGACATCGATGTTTGAAAATATAAAACTAAAAGGCAACTCATTTGGAATGGTCCCTCGAAATAAGCTTCAACGCTCTGCATGGAAGATAAAAAAAGTAGAAGTCATCATCTTAATTTTAAGGAGGTAACATTTTCACAAATATTGAGTAACAATTAATGTAAAGAATCAAATAACTTTTGAGTGAGATGTAAAACTTACAGCGAAGTTCATGGATTTCGACATTAAGGGAAGTGTTTCCCATGTCTTCTTGTTCTTGTTTAATCTCTCTTGCAGAATTATCAGCGGTGGTGCTGCAATAATGTAACTCAATTGACTCCAAAGTACAAATTTCCCCAAAATCTGTCGGAATTTCTTCCAGGTAGTGGCAATACTTGAGAACAAGACGTTTTAGATTTGGGAAATTATCACTGCTAGCTTCCCAACGATAAAAAAAAGTTGTACTTGCAATTAACAACAGCTTTAGGCTTTCGAACTTGTCTTCATTACTTAATCTCCATACGCCACCCTTGAATGCATCCTCTTTAAGTTTGAGCTCTTCAAGATTTGGCAACATGGCAAGAGTTGATATGTCTTCCCAAGGAAAACGGAACTCATATAAAGTTAACCTCTTAAGTGATGTTGGGAAAACAAACATCTTGATGGAAATAGGTTTCGGAATATCATACCTTCTCTCCTGGATGGAGATAGGTTTAGGAACATCATACTCCCAACACTTCAGTGCTACGAGTTTTGTCAAGTTCGACATATCAATGAGGCGATTGGCCATACCTTCTCTCCTGGATGAAATTTCATAGATGACCAATCTCTTTAGATTGGGAATGCGAGAAAAGACTTCAGATGTACAACTTAAAGAACAGAGACCCGAAAGTTCCTCTAGATTTGGCATCCCTATCGCAAGATGCTGATCTAGAATACTCTCTCTTACTAAATCAATGGGTCCCCCCATATGTATATGCCTCAAGTTATTCATCACCCATATATTCCCTGGTGAAGTTATAACAAGTTTATCTCTTTCCCCATGATTAATTAGAGTTTGCAAATTCTGAAGCTCTGTGATTGATTCAGGAATATCGCCTGAAAAACGAACTTGGAGGTATCTCAAATGAAATAACTTTGTAATCTCGAGCGGAAATGTACGAAACAAATACATTTCATCTTTATTGAAGATTGCCAACACCCTGAGAAGCTTGAAATGGGAGAAAAAATCCCGTAATATATAATGACGACGAGTTATGGGCGCCATGCCCAGAAGGTCGTCAAGAAGCTCGTAACAGGGTAAATAAGTTTCCAATAATCTAGAAAATACATAGATAGATCTAGCAACAGGGGGTAATAGCTTACGACAATCATCAGCTGAATGCTCTCTGGTTTGAAAACTGAAGCGACGGACAATGTGCTTTTCTGGTGGAAGAGGAGGGTAAGTTCTTTTTCTCTCTACATGGACAAACTTCGTCATTTTAGCTTCTATCAAACAGAATTCACGCAGTAGATCATGCATTGCACATGTTCTTATTTCACCATTGAATCTCCTTTTTATAGCCATTATCAAGTTCCTGTTGATAAGATCATCCAGATAATTTTCTGCCACTTCCTCCAAGCTTTTATGACTTTCAGACGTCGTTATAATTAAACCTTCGGCGATCCATAATTGGATCAATCTCCAAGTCTCAACCTGAAAATCCTCTGGGAAATCACCCATAGAAAGAAAACAAGGTTTGAGGTGATTAGGCAAGTGGTGGTAACTCAAACCGAGCACTCCTAAACATTTATCTGGATGACTAGCAACGACTTCACCTAAGGTTCGCGCAACATCCTTCCAACTTTTTAATGTCCTGTCCATTTTAGAGAGATGCCCTGCAACAACTGAAATTGTCAAGGGTAGTCCTTGGCATTTTTCTACTATTTGCTTTCCAATTTTTTCCAACTCAGGTGGATGATCATTTTTTGGTCCAAACACCTTATCACGAAGTAACTTCCAACTGTTTTCTAAATGCAAGAGGTTCATCTCATGAGGGATACTAGTATTTGCATACATCGCTACCTCTGTTTCCCTGGTAGTCAATAAGATTCGACTCCCATTGTTGTAATTAGGAAATATTCCTCTTATACTTTCCCAAACATCTGTACTCCAAATATCATCAACAACAACAAGGTATCTTCGACCCTTTAGGCTTTTCTGCACTAGGTCAGCTAACTTACTGTCATCCTTATCATAATCATTTTCGTTAACAATATTTGTTTGCTTTGAAATGCAATGTAAAAGATCTAACAACACATTTCTACTTCGATATTCTTGAGATATTGTAACCCAAACACGAATGTCAAAATGATACCTGATTGGGAGATGATCATGAGCTTTTCTAGCGAGCGTTGTTTTGCCAATGCCACCCATACCTGATATGGTGACAATAGCAAGATCGGACGGTTGTCCAGTCAATCTTTTAACTATGATCTTCAAGTCATCATCAAGTCCATGCACGATATCACTTTCCAAATTTGGCAGCACTGGAATACTTGTAGAAGAAGTGCCAATCCTGGAAACCCGAGTAGATTGAAGAATTAGATTATAATCAGCGTCATGAGTAGTTGTGCTAAAATCAGAAACAATCTCCATCACTTTTTCTTTGTTGTATCCAGTTTTTCAACAACTGGTAGCAAATCCTGGTGTTGTAAAATTTCAAATGTCCAGCTTGAGCCTTTGATGATTCGTAAAATCTTCAGCTCAACAACATCTTCTGCATAACTAGCAGCAACTCTTATTTTTTCCTCCAAATATTTGACTTTCTCATGGTCAAACCTTCTCCCATTATTGGTAGCTTGTTCAAGAACATTTTGAAAATATTCAGCAGTAGCATGAAGAGATTCTAGCGTTTCAGCAGTTTGACCATGAAAGAGATCTGGATTTCGTTCCTCAAGAGTACGAAGAAGAGAAACTACAGCATTATAAGCTGCCATTATCAACTACTCAAGAATTAGAATATTGTGGAAATGATGGCAACAAGGAGAAAGACTCAGCTCTTTAACTATTTTTCTCAAATTATATTTGTGTGTGACTAAGGCATCGTGGAACAACCCCTATTTATAATGTGAGCTGCCTTGGGTGTGTAAAATTTTAGTTCCATTACTTGTACTATAATACCCTTTAATTAATTTCCAACACCATGTTAGTGCCTTAATTAGTGGTTATCAATTAATTGTTTGACTAATTAAGGAAAAAAAAGCTAACTCATAGCCAGTTGGTGTGTGGAATCAGATCTGTCATGTTGGAGAGTAACAGGAATAATAATGCCCCATCCTTTATCATATGACTAAAGGCTTTTTCAACTTTCTTCTCATAGACAGTTTTTACCTAACTAATAAAGAAATTGCCCATTAAACAAGCATCTTTACAGTTGACTATTAATGGAGATCGTAGTAAGGGTTGCGGAGATGGAAGATTATACAAATTTTTTTTTTTTTTTTTTTATGTACTGAAATTTCTTCTTTCACAATGTGTGAATCAGTTGTGCAAAATATAACAGAATAACAGTTGGACCCGTGATATTGTCCACTTTGTCCTAACCTCACAGGAATTTAAACACGTCACTAGAGTCTATGCCTTGTTTCCTTATATACCTAGCATCTTTTTGTGTTTTTTATGTGGGATTCACCTAAACTCACTTGGACGTTGAGGTTTGCCCCATCCTCGTCTGAGATTGCACGCAGAGTGGCGCTGCTACCATATGTAAGCTTAGCCCACTAGTGATATTGTTCGTTCTAGGCCTGGTCTTGCACGACTTTAAAACGCGTCACTAGACTGAAAGTCTTATTTTTGTATTACACAAAATAATATATACCGTATTTTATTGATGTGAAATTTGTCTAAGGTGTCACATTTGAACGTTAATTAGGTCCAAGAGTTTAGGCTAGTGTGGTGGAATCCTACAATTACTTTTTTCAATCTGAAATTACTGATCTTATGCACAAGACAACATTATAGTGATCTAATAATCAGCATTCATCTGCCCACCTGACCGCTACGGAAATAAAAAATATGGACTGCTTAGGGTGTGGCAATTTTTTGACCCCCAATTTGTCGTATAACAACCTTAGCTTGAATCAATCCCTTTAATTAATTTCGAGCACCACCTTAATGTTTAACAATATATTAATTGACTTAGAGGGTGTTTGGCTAAGTTTATAAGCTATTTTTTGGCTTATCTACGCGTTTGGTAAAATTAAAAGTGTTTATAAGTCAAGTGCTTATAAGCCAAAAGCCATAAGTTGGTCTCCCTCGACTTATCCAATTTCAGCTTATAAGCACTTTAGGTTTGATCAAAATATTTATTATTCTATCCCTAAAATACTTTTTTTTTAAAACAAAACTCCTCGTATAGTTTCACTCTCTCTCAGTTCTTCAAACCTAAACAGCCCGTGCCTCTGCAATTCTCCAGCCCGTTTCTATCGGCAATTTGAGGTAATGAGATTCACTTGTCTTCTTCATATTGCTATACATATGTGACTTGTATTGTTAGCCTCAAGTAAGATTCCTACTGTTTTAGTTGTACATTTTTACGTGGATTTGGTGCGGTAAATAGTAGTATAAAAAACAAAAGAGTGTTGTACAAGGTTAATTTGAATACTTTCTCTTATTTATTTTTATTTTTTGGGGTACAATTTGAATGCTTTCTTGTGTATTTCTCTCGTTGAAAGTCATCACTATTAGGGGTGTTTAAAACCGAATCGTATTGGCTACAATGGAGATTCATAATTACATTAGAAAGAAATGTAAGGTGAACAATGCATTCCAAGAAGCTGAGAATGAGAGATATGTGCCACGTGTTCATCCTGATGTTGGAAGATCCGCAAGAGTCAGCGTTGCAAATGAAGAAAATGTAGAAAATCAAGGAGATAATAATATCTGGACGGCATTTCGTGATCTGATTGCTCAAGATATTTATGATAGTTGAATATTTTAATTTTATTTACCATAAACAATACATATTAAGTGCATGTTTCTTCTCTACAAATACTGTGTACATTATTTAAGGTTTTTTCCTTAACTTTTGTTAATTAATACTCCACCCATTACAATTTATGAGTAAGTATAATAATTCTCCCATCCATTTTCATTCGGTTAATGTTTTCTTTAATATTTCTTCTTTCTTCTGATGGACATTGTTAACTTAATTTAAAATGCACCAATTTGCTCATTTGCTCTGACTGGAGTAGACGAGAACATCTTTACAGTTGACCATTAATGTAGGTTGCGTGGTGTTGGCGGAGGACTCGTTATAATCACTAGTGTTCCATAACGCCCTGGGCCTTAGCTTGAATATACAGGGATCGGTTATTTTGGTCACAGTACAAGTCAACTCTATAATGGTTAAAGCTGATGTACTGTACACGCAACGGTACATCAACACTGTTGAAGCGTAACCGGACAAGTCCTTGCATCATCTTTCATGACCTCAAACATATATTGTCAACATGAGACAAGGGTATTTTATTCTTAACACTTGCAAAACCTAAATTATTCACTCTCTCAAGTGTGTAGCCACCTTTCCTCTGAGGCATTGAAGAACAAAGCAACGACAGAACAAAGGACATTTCCCAGCATTGATTTTGTCTTATGTCCTTTAGTATTATTGTGTCTCTGTTCTATGTTATTCATTTGTAATTCCTACACACGTTTTTAGAAGCAATTAGTAGGATATCTCTTAAAACATTTTTGTTTTGGTTGTTTTGACTAGAGTTCGTGAAGTGTGTAGCCATGTTATAGAGTTATTATAAATAGGCTTACAATAGAGTTATTGTAAGGGAGGAGGGTTAAGAGTTTAATTCCTAGATTGCAAAAGGTTGTAATCTAAAGTTTGCTCAGTTAGTGAAGTTGAAATCCTACTAGGGTAGATCATTGTTTTTAATCGCGTGAGCTGGAAGTTTTTCACGTAAATATTGTTGCGTTCTTTACTTACTGCTGTTACTGTAAGAACTTACAGAGAACCAATACAGTTTGATGAACCCTTAATTTCCATCAATTGGGATCGGAGCAGGTTCTTTCTAACGGTTAATACCTAGAAAGGATCTTAATGGCTGCTCCACCAAATTTCAAAGAAGAAAAATCTACTACAAGACCACCAAAATTGAACGGCCAATACTATGGTTGACGGAAAACAAGAGAGAGATGTGGCCTCTCTTTTTTCACATTTTTTAGCATCTTTATAAAATGTCCTGGCTTTTTATCAAACATTTTTTATAAAATGTCCTAGTGAGGATGTCCTGGCTTGAATCAAAACATCTCTCTCTTTCGCATTTTTATCAAAACATTCACAAGTAGGACCACTACAAACACAATACTCACAAAGTGGTCAAGAGGATACCGGTCCCTGACAGAAGGTTCAAAAGGAAGGATGTCGTTGACAATGTGGTGAAACAAGTTCTAACTGCTTGGGAAGATTCCTTCAGTGAATCTGAAGGTGAGGATGATCGTGGAGACACCTCCATGATAGCTGTTGAAAGTGAATCTACATAGTATGGCTCTATATTTGCACTCATGGCAAAATCATATGATGATGATGAGGTAAACTTTCTTGACGTTCAAAAAAATTTGAAAACTTACTCTCCAAATAAACTTGTTTCTTTAGCAAATGTTTTGATTGATTCTTATCACAACCTCATTAAGGATAAAAATGATTTAGTTGAGGAAATTGGAGAGGTAGAAGAAGAGAGAGATGTTTTGGCAGTTGTAGTTGTGAATCTTAAGGAAACAGTGGAAGAAATAAAAAAAGAAAATGCCCTGTTAAAAATTCAAATGGAGAAATGGATGAACACTCCTAAGGGAAAGGAAGTAGCAAGTGAGGCACAACGAAAGCTGAAAAATGAGCCCAAAAATGTTAAAATGAGTCTTGTCACTGAACTTGAAAAGAATAGACAACTTCAGGAGAACTTAAACAGAGTTAAAAAATGATCTAGACAAGTCTCTTTAGTGGACCTGGTCCTCATACACAATCATTTCCATGTATAAAATTATTGGAGGGAACAAGAAAGGTAAGTATGTTACTGTGACTGATAACGGACTTTCTACTCATTTTGGTCAAACAGGTCATTCATTATAAGGACTCTTGTAAAGCAAAACATCAGTCTCAGCAGGAAAACATTAACTCCAAACCTAAGCATTTATCTTGGTGACTAGCAACGATATCACCTAAGGTTTGGGCAATATCCTTCCAACTTTCTAACTCAAGAGGATGATCATGCTTTGGTCCAAACACCTTATCACCAAACAACTTCCAACTATTTTCTAAATTCAAGAGGCTCAACTCATGAGGGCTACTACTATTTGCGTACATCGCTACCATATTTTCCCTAGTAGTCAATAGGATTCGACTAAAATCGTTGTAATCAGGAAATATTCCTCTTATACTATCCCAAACATCCTTACTCCAAATATCATCAACATCAACAAGGTATCTTCGACCCTTTAGATTTTTCTATACCAGATCGGCCAACTCATTGTCATGTTGACAATATTTGTGTGCTTCAAAATGCAACGTAAAGCATCTGATAACAAATTTCTACTTCGAAATTCTTGAGATATTGTAGCCCAAGCAAGAATATCAAAATGATACCTGCTTGCGAGATGATCATAAGTTTTTCTAGAAAGTGTTGTTTCTCCAAAGCCGCCCATGCCTAATATTGTGAAAATGTCTAGATCCGATGGTAGTCCTGTCAATCTTTTAACTATGATCTCCAAATCGTCATCAAATCCCTGCACAATATCATTTTCCAAATATGACAGCATTTGATTACTTGTATAAGAAGTGCCAATCAAAGAATACCTAGGCAATTCAAGAGTTTGATAATCATCAGCATCATGAGTACTACTAGTGCTCAAGTCAGAAACAATCTCCATCACTTCTTTCTTTGTTGTATTCATTGTTTCAAATACTGGTAGCAAATGCTCGTGTTGTAAAATTCCAAATGTCCAACTTGAGCCTTTGATGATTTGAAAAATCTTCACCTCAACGGCATCTTCTGCATAATTAGCAGCAACTCTTATTGTTTCCACCAAAGATTTGAGTTTTTCAAGGTCAAACTTGTTGGGTTTAAGCTTATAATAGCTTAAAATAGAGTGAATGGAAAATGGAGGGAAAAGTAAAACTTTAAAATTTTCCTCTTTGACAGAGGGATATTATTCCATATTGGAGGAGGAAGATAATTTTGATGGGTATATATACAATTTCACTTCTTCTAGCTCTTGAAGAGTTGAAAAGAAGGTAAGCCTCGTGTCATCGTCGTTGGTCGGCTCGGCTTCGGATTCGGTTAAATGATTGATTGATTAATTTTTTTTTACCAAAGTTATTTAATAATATTAAGATTAATATAATTTTATTTTAGTCCAAATCAACTATTGCTATAATGATAAATTGATTATCCCGTTAGAATTTAAATTTGGCGATTTGCATAAATGGCCATTTTTAAAAATATCCACTTTCAAGCCTTAAAATGAAGAGTTACAACTCTTCGGTATTAGCTAACATTTAGGCTACAAATATATGATCTTTTCCACAGATTTTGCTTACAGAATTCTGAATTCTCCTTCTTCCTTCTACATTTTTTTCTAACAGAAAGAAAAGTAAGTTTAATTTGCTACCGATCTTTGAGTTCGTTGGTCATCGGGGTTTGAAGTATCGCTACACCAGTGAGGGTGATCTGTTCTGTCCTTGACAAAATAATCCTAAACCTCGGGTACTAGGAGGGGATTAAGTTTCTTAAGGAAACATTGTGAATTCAGTAGCCTCAGATTAATTTTTTCCTTTTTCTACATTTCAATTTTTACTTGTTTCTATTTTTTGAATATATTTTCGAGTATAGATTGCTAGCTATATGGGGTAAAATCGGTTTATATTACATGTTTGTATGACACGTGAGATGTGGGACCCGAGACAGACGAAAGATGAAGCAAGTAAATCTCGAGTCTAAGGACAACATCTTCAGTTGGCACTGGAAAGATCCCGAAGGGAACACAGTCAACGGAAGCAAATGAATGTTTGTCATCAGATGAAATTTAATGAAGAATATACCTCATTATTAAATACACAACAGTTGCAGAGAATTATGACATTTATGGCCTACCATTACATATTCATCAATGATCCCTATTATTGTCATTTAACAGGGGCTTGATCCTGGGACCTTGTTCCCAAGGAATAACTTTAAATAGTGACGTCAACAACCATTGTAGAGAACGAAATCTCTGGCAAAACTTATGCTACACATTATTCTCAAGCTAAACAATACTTTATTTTTTGTTTAATATTATTTTTTATCGCGGTCTTCGGAAGCCTTGTTCCCGGGACCAGGCTACCTGCTATTTATCTCGATTTCAATCCAAAGTCTTATACTTTTCATATAATTTATTTATCATTTTGGGATTAAATCGATATGCTTATCCATAAACCACGCTATAAATTTAACTATACTGTTTTACGTGTAAACAATTTTGCATCCACCGTAGGGCTTAGATAGCTGTGTAATTGAGTTAATCCTTATGTCTATTACTATTTTGTTTGATCCTTTGTTTCATAGAAAAAATCGTAAAAGATGTCAGCTAACGATGTCAATACCGCACACAACATTAAGGCACAAGAAAATCTGACTCAGCTTGAGGATTCGTTAAGTGACACCCGCAACGAGGGAGATGTGGCGACTCTGGTCCATGCCGGGCAGTATCCCCCACATGTGTAGAAAGCGACTCCGGATGACACTGAGGATGTACACGTTGCGGAAACAATGAGGATAGAGAGCAACAAAAGACCATCATGGGCCATCTATCGAGGCAAGATTAGGCCACGACAGAACTGAAGCAAGTGTTGTCAGGTGCTTCCAACATCGACAATGGAAGAGGTCTTGTTCCTCTCGGCACGCTCGCAAATCAAACAACGCAAAGAGTTGACAAGAATACCCCGTAGGGTGAGGTCAGCTTCGACGGAGTTAGGGGACCAAATATGGATCCGGTAACGACAATAACAATGATCCTTTCAAAAGCAAACTCATGAGGTTCATGAGGGAAATGAATGAGCGGATGGATCAGAATGCGAAAGAGTGCCATGCCCGAATGAACTAAATGGGCGCACCACCATAATGAAGGTCCCGGACTTGAAGAAGTATACCCTATTGCCGTTTAAATCGAGCGTAGCAACACAATTGATTCCGAAACGGTTGAAAATTCCTGATATATCGAAGTATGATGGGACTTCGGACCCTCTGGAGCAAATTACAACCTATACAACGGCGGTGAAAGGAAATGACTTGGCTCAATATAAAATCGAGTCGGTCCTGCTGAAGAAGTTTGGAGAAATCCTCACGAAGGGGTCCTGGACATGGTACTCACTCTTACCCGAACACTCAGTAGATTCTTTTGAGATGCTCGCAGATTCTTTCATCAAGGCCCATGCTAGGGCCAGGAAGGTCCATGCTCTGAAGGCGGACATATTCAGAATTTCGCAAGGAGAGTCAGAGTTGCTGCGTGAGTTCGTGATCAGGTTTTAGAAAGAAAGGATGTTGTTACTGGCCGTGCCAGATGAATGGGTAGCTGAGGGATTTACTAAAGGGGTGAAACCGAGGAGCTCCCACGCCTCCCGAAAGCTGAAAGAAAGCCTGCTCGAGTTCCGGGTGACTACATGGGCGGATGTCCATAACCATTACAAATCAAAGATAAGAATAAAAGATGATCAACTCGTGTTTCTAGCATCAACAAAGGGTCGGGACCTAGAAAAGAACATAGATAAATCAAAAGATGACTTTGATATGGATCGACGATCTGCTAAAGGCCCATTTTTGCATTTCGAGAGGGCAAAAATATGTGACAGTAGAGGGTTCCAGTCAGCGGATAGGTTCGCCTTTGATAGAAGAACTAACAGCGACCGGAACAATAGGTCATTACAGGTTGTCAGAATATAATTTCAATGTTAGTATGGTGGAGATAGTATCCACAATAAGAAATATGAAGGAAGCGCGGTTCCCGAGGGATCCTAATTTGTGGTGCGGATATCATGGGACAATGGCCACCGAACTGGGGACTGCGGATATCTGTGCGAGGAAGTGGCAATGTTGTTGAAGAACGACCATCTAAGGGAATTCCTAAGCGATCGAGCTAAGAACAATTACGGTCGTAACCTAGACAATGTTTAATCGTCAAAGTTAGGGGAAGACCCTCCTCAGCTAACTATCAACATGATTTTTGGAGGAAACAAGATCAATGATGTAACCTTCTCGACAACAAAAAAGATAAAGGTATCGATGACTCATGGAAAGACTCCGCGATGTCACCAAGGATGAAATCACTTTCACCGAAGAAGACGCTGGTGGTGTCACGACCCAATTTCCCCTCCGTTGGGTTTCGTGATGGCACCTAGTCTTAGGGACTAGGTAAGCCTAACATTTACCGAATATCAACCATAATAAAGAAAGTCTATCAGTCTCAATATAGAAATCATTATAGAACTTACATCTTCCCAAAATCAGCAATACAAGTCATAAGCTCTAGAGAGTTTTGCCACAACTTCTAAACACAACTGTATGGAAATAAGTACAACAGTGTGAATACAAAAAAGGAAGGTGACTCCGAAGCCTGCGAATGTAGCAGCAGGGTTACCTTGAGTCTCCTCGGCAAGAATCCACACAGCAACTAACGATCAATACATGGATCTGTATAAAAAAATGTAAAGAAGTGTAGTATGAGCACACCACAACGGTGCCCAGTAAGTATCAAAACTAACCTCGGTGGAGTAGTGATGAGGAACAATCAAGACACCTACTGGTCTAATAAACTGAACAAATATAAGTATAGAAACAACAGAACATGATATCTATATAAAGACTACACGATATGGCTAACAATACAATAACTACAATAAGGAAAGAAATAGCAAGTAACAACGGAGCACCATAATAAGAACACAGAAAATGAATGGAAATACAACCCAAATCCGAAATCACAATTACAGTAAAGACAAGTAATAACTCAGCAACTACGGTAGTTTTCACATTAGGCCTTAGCCAACAACTTCAATCATTTAGTCATCCTTCAAGTAATAAGGATATTCCGAAATATACATCCTTCAAATAACTATTTTTCAAAAATAGTTCTTTCAAAATAAATACCTTTTGAAGATAATCTTTTCAAATAAATATCCTTCGAATATAAGTCACCCTGTGACATATGATCTCATAATCATACAATACGGGTCTCAATATCTGAACCCTAACACTTAGCGTCCTGTGCCCTTATCACACCTCACAATTATACTGACAACCCACGTGCCAAATAGATCCATTCTCACATGGAAGGCAAGTAAACGAGGGTGTATGTCTATACTTAGCAATATCAAGAAGCCTCTTATTCGATAAAGGTACTTAGCCACGCGCATGCTTGTGCAAGTGTCCTAACATAGTTCATACCACCTAGTAAGCATAAGGAAAAGAACGGACAACACGTAGAATGTTTACACAGGAATAGAATCAATGAAAAGCAACAGCTCAGAACATAGTGATAATAACAGGGGATCTCCTTGGATACCGTCCCATAGTCCCAAACGTAAATGTACAGGGGGGATCTAGCGAAATACCGTTCCGTAGTCCAAAAGTAAATATGCAGAATAGGGGGATCTACCGGGATACCATCCCGTAGTCCCAAACGTAAATATGTAGGGGGATCTACCGGGATACCGTCCCGTAGTCCCAAACGTAAATGTACAGGGGGATCTAGCGGAATACTGATCGTAGTCCCAAAGTAAATATGCAAAACAGGGGGATCTACCGGGATACTGTCCCGTAGTCCCAAAGTAAATATGCAGCGCAACCAACAGAAATAACAATTACAACACGGCAGAAACCTGGTACATCAGCAAAACAAGTACAATAACAAAAATGACAATAATACAAAGTACGGCGAGTAAATCAACTCAAGGACTTTAAATCATAAAGAAACGGTAGAACCAGTTCACAAGGAATAACAACAGTAAAGAATACTAGGCATAAAGGGAACAAATCAACAAGGGAAAACTAATATGTAGCAACGATCCCACAATATACAAGTCAACAATGAGGAAGTCAACACGAGTCCAATAGTCCCAAATAAAGGCAAGTCAACTAAGATATAGGTTATCTAAATTCCTTTTAAGGTTGAGCAATTTGCGAAAGATATTCAACAATTCAAATAATGGTAAGCAGCAAAAGATAATCATAACTCCAATTAAGACTAAATAATTATAGGATGAGATAGTAATAATTTCAATTAAGGATAAGCAGTTGTGAAAAAATAGGATGACGATAGAAGAGGCAAAATCTTTAGTTAAGTCAAATAAGTGTCAAATAGGCAATAAGAGTGAATCCTAAGGCAATTAATTCTAATTAAAGCATGTAGAAGTGAAACCAGCAAATAGTAACTCAAACGTATCACAGACAACTTCATACACAGTGAATATAAGAACCTAAGAACCCTAAATGCCAACTTCCACAAATAAGTCCGAGCACGCACTCGTCACCTCACGTACATGAACTACAATCAACATAGAAGACTCAAATCCTAAAGGGAAGTCCCCCACAAAAGGTTAGAAAGATGCTTACCTCAAAGAAAATAGACCGATACTCTAAAAGGCACTTCTCGGGTGAAAAAACCTCCGGGCGGCTCAAACCCAACAAAAATAACCAATCAATTTTCTTGAAAACCCCACAAAGAGTCGCTCAAAACCGAGCTCCACAAGTCAATATATGATAAATATGGTCTAACCCTCGATTTGGGAATATATTCTGCCTGCCCAGGTATTTATGCACCGCGAACGTGGAGAAGAGAAGACAGAAACCTACGCAAATGCATAGAGAATCATGCGAATGCGAAGAGTAACGACCACCAGTACTCAGGACCTGGTTTCTACTACGCAAACGCGGAATACAGGATGCGAACGCGATGAGGAAAATGTGCAGAGCTACGCGATCGCGAGGCGTATTACGCGAACGCGAAGAAGGAAATTGAGGCGATTAGCAGAGAATCTTCCCGGACACGAAAGGAGGTTCGCGATAGCGAGG